TAAAACCAGATATGTATATTCAGGATAAGGAGATGATAAGATTTATTACTGCATTGCCCGCCTACGAGAGAATAAGGGAAAATATGGGGATTTTGCGGGAGAAAGTAAGGGTTCTGAACGAGGTTGCAAACAATCTTGAAAAAGCAGGAGTTTACTCTCTCCAGCAATGGGATGAATTCACAGACAAGGAGAGTATTCTTTTAATGGCAAGGGGGATTCTGAATGCAGCTCTTAATATTGCAAAGGAAAAGGGGTTTGTTTCTCAGGATGCTACATCTGTGGTAATGGAAGGTGTATATGAATCTGTGTATAATGCGACATGGCACTATGTGCAGGGTGTTGGTGGTAGGGGATTCGGTATGCAAGTGAAAGAGGGCCATCCACCGCAACTGTGGACAGATGATGAGGTGATGAAGGGTTCTGCAGAGGATGATAATGATTATGAGAAACCCGAGGATGGACGTCTGGAGTTGATGGTGTTCACCTCTGAGAAAGGATGGTCATACACAGAGTTCAGTATGAATAAGAGCTGCGATATTTATGTTAACAAGGAGGTGATGCGTGTATGGTATAAAATTCTAGAGAATCTGGATAAGTATTTTGGCAATAATGTGGATGCTATTAAGGAACTCACTCCATATGTGTTAATTGGAACACCTGGAATTGGCAAGTCCTTTGCAGCTGGTTCATTCCTCCTCTATCAACTGTTGCATTACAATGCAAAAAAACTCCCAGTGGTTGCGTGCTTCATTAGAGGTGGGGCCTATCTGTTTGAAAAGAAGAATGATGGTGGAAAGGTTACTTGGTACGAAGGAGAAGAAAAGGCAGTAAGTGTTGTAGGGAATTTCTTTAAACGAGGTGAAGAAAATAAAGAAAAAAGAGGATACATAATCTATGATGTGGATGAGAAAAGTAGAGGACCACCGACCCGACTGCCTCCTTCAGGATGGGGCATGATTGTGATATCATCCCCAAATGAGGAACAGTATAAAGGATGGAGGAAGCAAAAAGGGGCTTATCGAATCGTCATGAATTGTCCAACTGTGCGTGAAATCAAGGCCATATGTGCATGGGAAAAGCGCAACCAATCCAAAGAACTTAAAAACCATTGGAAGGAAATAAAGGAACGTATTAATAATATTGGGCCACTTCCACGTCATATTTTTGATGATGGTATGTATCGTGATCGGTGCAATGAAGTGAAAGATACGTTGGATCTCATTAACGAATCCAATATTACAGAGTACAAAAATATCCTCAGAGGTATTGGTGAATGGAAAGATAAGAGTCCATCCCATAAACTAGTAAAAATATACCGTGTTGTCATTAATTGTCGCGATGTCCCAAGGAATAAGCCGATTACCGTTGCTTTGGGCGATCAGATAGTTGCTAGAGTGATTGTGTTTTTGAAGTCCCCTGTTCTGAATATGGTTTTCACCGACAAGGGTGTGATCATTGCCGAAGGTTTTCAACGGTATGGTGTTAATGCTTTTACAGATAAAAATTTTGTGACTGCACTTAGTGAAGTACTGCAAATAATTCAACCACCTAAAGGTCGAGTGAGTCAGCAGAGTGTTCTACAACGGAGAGATTTGATTACGTTTGCTAGTGATGGGTATCTCTCCTTTCCCACCAGTATAAAAGATGAGAAGAGGAGGATAGAGTACAATATGCTTTACCATCCTTCTATATCTAATTTCCCTCTGGTGGATGCTTTCTACTTTGTGAAATCCCCAGAGGGAACGGTTACACTGATTGGTATACAAGCGACAACTGCCACAATACATGAAACCACAGTTACTGCAGTAATTGAATTCAATAAATATCTTAAAAATTGTTTTTCTGATTGGACTGATGTTTCCAAGGAAGTATCGTGGGAGATCATTTACATACAACCCTATGGCACTGATGAGAGGAGACAAATAAAAAAATGGCAGGGATGTACTTTGAATGAATCAGGAAACTATAATCTCGAGGAACGGGAGGTTACTGCCAAAATCTGGAATGAAAAGGTAAATCAGTATCAGGTGGACATGTCGCCAACAATGATTGTATGGCTTATTGAGGCTTTAATGGCGATGTATTAAAGAAGGAAATAAAACGAAAGAAGAAGGAAAAAAAAAAAAATACGACAAGAAGTGTTTATTTCAACTGAAATATGTTTTAATTCCAGAAATATTAGTGAAATAAAGTATTCCTTTGACATGTTTTTTTTTTTTTTTGTAGTATGAGTTTAAGGGTAAAATAAATATGCCGTATGGTCTCACAAAACAATGACTAACTGTTCGGTGTATCGCCCATTTATAATTTCTGTTTTATTTTAGGACAAAATACAAATGACAACATATATTAATTTTTGATTTCGTTGAGTTTTTAAAATTATTTTCAGGGTGGATGGGATTGGAAAAAGGAACGTTCTAATGTTACGCTTGGTAAAAAATAATAATAACATATTACGTTTTCTTAGTTTGTGTATGTGTGGGTGTTGTCGTTTGGGGTTTGTTGCTTTGAAAAATCCACTCAATACGTCCTTCTTTTTGTTGCGCGGGGTGGTGGGTTAAAATGGGCTCTCAGCATTTCCTTTTCATCAGTATTAATTGCGAATTGGCGGTCGGGAATCCTTTCTAGTTTTTAATTAAAATTCAATGGGGAGCAAAAACACAACGGGAAAGTACTAGGTGCTTCTTTTTTTTTTTGTTTTACTGCTCTGCCCAAATGATAAATTTATTGCTTTGATGGGGGAGAAAATTATCAAAATACAAAAGATATTCTCACTCTGCATGGCGGGAAAGTGTTGCAAACTATTCTGTTGCCTGCCGCTCCCCAGGGGGATCTCTCTTAAAACAAGGGGAAAACCAATAAAAATATTTTTCTGTTTCTCTCTTTGTTTTTTCTTGCACTTTTTAGGCCCGGCAAAGAAGAAGGTAAATTACATTAGGTATACTTTTACTGGGTATGCTTTCGTTGCGCCTTGAATCCTTTGGAATTCCAATGGAAATTATGAAGAAAAGATGAGGAACTGTTGGGGGTTTGGCTCCCCTGCTGGTTTTATTTATTCTTCTTCTGGTGTTGGATGTTGTTTGGCTTCCTCACTCTTTTTTTGGCGCTGTTAATGAATGGGGTGTGTGGCGGATGGCCGTTGTTCTCTTCCCTCAGTGGAATTTCAAAAGGGTGACGCCGTGATGATTCAAACGCGGATTGTTCAAAGAGTTTGGGGAATGGATCCCATTCTCCTTCACGGTGTCGCTCTTTATTGTTGGGCGTGGTGTGCGGGTTAGTATTGGCTGGCAGATCAAACCCCCAGCAAACAATAAAAAAAAAAGATAAATGGAGAAAACCAAAATAATACGAAAAGCATGGGGTTTGGGAATTGGGGGTTGTGAAATAAATGAAAATAAACGCGCAAAAAACACAAAACGGACACGCACCTCGCGGTCCCCAACGGCAAAGGAACTTCCCAACGACGCGCGTGATGGGCAGTGGGCTTTCCCACGAGCGTGGCTCTGGGGAACAAGAGCGTCAGAGGGGAATTGTTTTCTGTTAAGGGTGATGTGGATTTTGAGTGGGAAAATTTGTAGAGGGAAACAATTATCGTAATTTATTTGTTTTATATATAAACTCTGAAAGGGCAAGCGGATATGATCGCATTTGGTTTGCTGCTACGCTAATGTCTATCTCTTGCTCTCATGTTTTTTCTGTATTACCACACAAACTGATAGTCTAGGTCTTTGTTTCGGTTGTTTCTCGTTTTTGATTCAATCGAGATCGTTCTTTTCGCGCCCTCCCACCGCATCCCTGTAGATTTTTTTATTTTATTTCATTTTTACTTTTTTACCCAGTTAACCGGCATGCGCTGCTGGAGTGTCCCGAAACCATGGGCGCAGTCTTTGCCGCGTTGTCTTCCGGCCTCCGATCATGAGACTGTCCTTCACCTCATACAAATGAGC